TGATCTTATCAAATAGTGCTCTATAGAACTGATATGATTGTAAAGCATTTTAAAAATTATGAAACTAGAAATTATAGTAAATTTATTATTTATATTTTTTAATTAATAGTGTCTCAATCAGAATAATTTATTGAATTTGCTGAATCATTCGAAATGGTAAATGTATATTTGTTTCCATTATTTCTTCTAATAAAAGTTATAATTTTATGGCATTTAAGTGATAAAATATAGCAAAATTAAATAATTTCGTTTAATATTTTTACAGTTATTGAATACAAATTTCATTTTTTATACACAAAACATATTTAATATTTTGTAAATTTTATGTATTCGTTTATTTTTTAAAAATTAATTCAATGGTAAATATAGATATAACTTATTCTACACTTGATGCTGATGTTTACATTTTGTTTTTGTAAATTTTACAGGAAAATTATCAGTTATCAGATAATCAAATTCAAGGTGAGAATTGTATTTTTCATGCTGTAAATTAAAATTGATATTCCGGTCAAATTTATAGCTTCTGTTTTATTTTCTGTAGAGTTGAAAGCTGCCTTTTCCATGTTAGATAAGAATCAAGATGGTAGAGTTAGCGCTACAGAAATTAAATTTATGCTAGATAATTTTGGTATCTGTCTAACAGATTCCACAATACAGCATCTTATACAGCAAGCCAGTGGAAATAGTATGTTATTTTATTGTAAATAAGTGATGTAGCCCTTCATTTAATTAATGGTGTTTTTAGATGACGGACTAATAGATGAATCTGAATTTCTTGCGTGGATGGCATCCCACCAGCAAGCATTGATGGACGATGAGACCGAAGACCTCCTCGCAGCTTTTAGGGTGTTTGACAGAGACAGAAATGGATATATCACACGGGTATAATTGTTTTTCATTTATCATCTCTGAGTTTTTATTTAAATGATGCAAAATTTGTATAATAAATTAATTAGGACGAATTAAAAGTGGCAATGGATCTTATCGGTGAGCCAATGTCTGAACAACAGCTTGACGACTTATTGGAATTGATTGACGTAGATAATGATGGAAGAATTAATTATGAAGGTGAGATGGGTTTGTACAGAACTATATATATGTTTATGTAATTTGTAATTCTTATTATAGTTTACAATTTTATTTGCAGAATTTGTCAAAATGCTCTTATAAAAATAATTCTACAACAAATTTTTGGAAGGAACTAAAAGCAAATAGTTACTATCATTTGTTTTGGGTGCTTGTATTGATGGAATATATATAAATTATAAAAAATTTTCTATATCTTTGTATTTGTTAAGTTTATAATAAAATATTAATATTTGTTTTTTATGTGACACAAAGTACTGAATCTATATATATAATCGAGACGGGTTGATAATAATAATGATAATAATAATAAGCGCAGAGCCCAAACGGTTAGGAGTTGAAAGTTGAAATTTGGTACACAGATAGGATACGTCACGAAAATGCACACTAAGAAGGGATTTTTCGAAATCCCCCCCCTGGGGGGAGAGAGACAGGATTAAAACTTCTATATACATTATGGATATGAGCCAAACAGTTAGGAGTTGAAAGTTGAAATTTGGTACACAGTTAGGGTATGTTAGGAGAACGCACACTAAGAAGGGATTTTTCGAAATTCCTCCCCACGGGGGAGAGGGACAGGATTAAGGCTTGATACTTCCATCAACAATGGAAGTGTTAAGTAACAATGGAAGTGCTAAGTAACAATGGAAGTGCTAAGTAACAATGGAAGTGCTAAGTAACAATAAAAGTTTTAAGTAACAATGGAAGTGTCAACAATGGAAATGTTACGTAACAATGGAATTGTTAAGAGAAAGCGACGTGCGATATGTAGATGCAGTTTTTTTCGTTTTTGCGGGAAATCGAACATATTTTTAGACCCATCTAAAAATTCTCTAAGGGGACCCAATTCTTGCATTCTGTGAAAACGGGTAAGGTTGACTGTAACGTAATAATCTTAATCTTCGCTATCGTTACTTTTGCCCGAGCAACGCCGGGCCCACCTGCTAGTAGTTTAATATTCACTTTAGTTATTCTCCTTATCTTTTGAAATCAGATAAGATTTGTATGTATGAAAACAGATATGAGGAAATAATTCAGTACAAAAACATAAATTTCATTGGTCGCCAAAGCATGGTATCAGAGACATGCAGCTCTCAAACACTATTGCATTTGAGGGTGTAATAATGCGGCTTATGCAAGATATCTTGTATATTAAAGCTGCATTACTAGGCAATGCAGCTTTAATATAACAGATAAGCAAACCAATGATGTGGCCCATTTCAAATCAGTCTGTCCTTGGTTTGCTTATCCAGCTATATTTAAGCACTTTATTTCTTATGATGATTTATAGGCTTTGAATGGTGTCATTTTTGAAAAATATTACGTTAACTTATTTAATATACAAAAATATATCATAACACAATAAGACTAATTTGTCTGTTAACCAAAACAATTGCACTGCTTCAGCTGAGGGTAGCCTCACTGTGACATTCTGTATGTCATAGTGAAGTTAGTCTCAGCTGTAAATGAAATTCCGTATCACTGTTGTTACATATATTACTTTAAATTTACGGATAATTTGTAGTTTAGAGCCCAACACATATGTATATGTAAGTCAGTGTCAAAGCACCTAAAAGGCTTTTGAGGCTTCCTAAATGTTAAACTTAAATCATAAAATTGAAAATTTTAATTGATCTTATCAAATAGAAAATGTGGAAATCACAGTTTTAACACACTTCTAACCAATAATGGCATGTGTGAAATGTGAGATTAATCTTCAATAGTCTCGCATCTTGCATGCAGATTTCACGTATGATTTAAGTTTTTGTAAAGTTTAAAATAAATAGATGAAAAAACTGAAATTAGTTTTTTCCTATATTTATTTCTAGTTTAGTCATTAAGAAAATATTATTACAGTAGAGTCTCGAAAACTCGGCCTAATGTGGACCGAAGGGTGGCCGAGTTTGTGAAAATGCCGGGTTATCGGGAATGGGGTTAAAAAAAATAAGTATGAGTGTTTCCTCAGAAANTTCGGGAATCGACAAAAATATCGGCAGCATGGTCCTCTAGTTTAATATAAACTTAATAATTGAGGGAACTAGTTACTATGTATCTTAGGCTACGTATTTTTAAATGATGTAGGGAGAGGGTATATATGTGTATTTATATTTAGATATTTATGTAATCTTTTTATATTTCCGTTGCTAAGTTCACAATGACGTCATTTGCAATGGATTATAAGGCTAGTTCGAAAAGATTCGAAAAACGTGTTAACTGTACTAAGCGTTCGATTTACAATTTTGTTGTTTTATTTGATTTATTTTCTTGAGAAAGGTCTTTTAACAAGACCGAAAACGTTAGAAAGTTTCTCTTATAAACTTTGGCTGCAAGAAAAGGTGTTTGAGTAAGTGTTTTGATATTACAGTATATAGTCTAGAACGATTTTAATATATTATTTTCAAAAATTGAATAGAAACTTAGAAATTGAACATTTCTGAAGTTTTTGTTTTTATCAACACTTTTATTAGGTTTTGTTTTGATAATTGAGGAAAAAATTCCATAATTTTACACAAAATACTTACACATTTTCTTAATGCAATAAATCTGATAAAAACACTTTTTAGGAACCAGTTTGGTATTCTTTAATTTATTTTTGAATAAATGTTTTCAAACTTATTCAAACTAATAAACTAGAATGAACAATGCAATATCACTGAAATGCTTTTGCATTTTTAAGAAAATATATTTTACTTTATAATATTTATAACATCAATCATACGTTTAAAATAATGTATGACAGTAAAACATGGTAACAAATTTCACATAAACTCAAAAGAAACATAAATTATGAGGAGTTTTATATTTTTTAATCTCTAGATTGGATAAAATAGCTCATGGAAGACAATGATGGAGAAGACTTTTATTTTGAACTTATCATTCTCAGTATGCAAAAAAATATCCTGCTGAGGGTATAATTACAAGGTATATTGTATATTGATAAAAATATTGATTTTATATTTGAGATGAAGCGTTAGTGAAGCCTGTTCTATGTGGCTTACAATATTGCATTGACCTCAAAATTTGATTGATTGATTTTGATTAAACTTTGCCATTTACATTAATTGAGAGGAAGAATCCAAAAATGTAATAATGGTCCATGTAAGTGTAAAAAATAGGGTTCCATGATGTTGATATACAGTGCTATTAGTGATAGTTTTCATGCTGCATGATCAATAAAGTGCACCCAACAGAATTTAGGAGCTAAAAATAAAACAGAACTGCGTGAACCTAATGGAAAATAGTGCAAAAAACGAACAAAACACAAGAAGAAAACAGTCAGCATTGATTGCTTTGTTCTTGGATCGCCTCTCCATGTTAGCAGGTGCAAGGATTGTCCCTCTGTACCTGACCAACATAACGATTACCTCTCCTGCAAGCGGCAGGTATGAGGACTGCTTCTCTAGTGGCATCTTATATACTACTATTGTATCATATACTGTATTTGAATAAGGTTGAAAACATTACTCTGGCACACTAATTTTATTAACTGTATGAGTATAGGGGTAAAATCTAAATTATTGGAAGTGTGTTTCAGTTATTGCGAACAATGATGATGCTGACCAAACTATTTTTCGACCAGTATTAGATCACTTTTAAACAAATCTTTTTAATGATAAAATAATTTTGTACTGTTATTTATTGGGGTGATGTACAAATTTATGGTGTGTGATTTCACTTTTTTTTTTTTTTTTAGTGTAGTATTGTCTTGGAATGAGATACTTGCATTGTGTTTGAGAAAACAAAATAGATGAAAATCCATAGGAGCCAGATCTGGATAGTCTGGCAGATATTGAATGGTCTTCCAGTTAGTTGGAGGTGTTGATTCATCAAAATTTCATATCATGTTCCTATTACACGTGTTGTTGCCGGGAGTACGGGTACCACATACACTCACCAATATGACAAAAATCAATCTGTTGCCATCTGTGCCACTCTGCTTTGTCAGTATTGCCATGCTTATGACTAACAGCAATCCTTTTTCTCCCACATTGTCACAGGCAACAAGTAGTGTTGATATGTCAATGTGAAGAAATGAAAGAATGGCAGAGTTCACAGAGACAGACAGCACAGTCTCCAGCCCAATCTTCATCCGTACGAGACAACATTGTATGTATGGTTGGATGTGGCAGGGTTTATCCACCATGAATTACTTCCGAGAAATTAAACTGTCACTGCTGCACAGTACATTGATCAACTTCACAGTCTGGCAGAAGCCATTTGTGTGAAGTGGCCATGTTAGAGTGTATAAACAGCTTTTGTCATTAAGCTACATAGTGGATTCTGTTAAATGAAGATGCATAAGAGTTTTAACTCCATCTAATACATCTTGACATAATTTATCTACAGATCTTACCTCTATTACTTTCACTCTCATAAAATTGAAATTTTCACCAATAGTGTGAACGTTTTCTTTTGTTTGTTTAGTTATGGCAATGCAACGCTTGGGCGATCTGCCTAGGGGGATGCCTTCCGGGAGGTCTTTTTAAGGGAAACTGGCCCCTATTTAGCTGTTACAAACATGGAGAAAACCTGGAAAATTCCACATGGCCAACCCATCGGAGCAAGGTGTGAACTCCCAGTGTTCAGGGAACGAAGACTGCTTGGCCACATTTGATTTTACTTTCCCAGCTGTTATATAATACAGGAAAGTATTGGAATCATGTCAAATTTGACCTCTGGATTTTTTGCAATCTCCACATTTTGAGACCCCCTGAACCCAAAAAAGAAAAAATGGGGAAAAAATTGTGTGTTGGTGTCTATTTTGTTCAATATCTAAGTATGGAGTAAAGATTAAGAAACAAAATTTAGTATGGTAACTTGCATATAAGGAGCATTGAAGCTATTAAATTTTGGTAGATAAAGTTTAAGAGGGGTTTATGTATCATATCTTGGGGATGTTAATGAAATTTTAATTGCTATTGACATTTACAATATTTAAAAAAGTCATCTACTATTGATATCAATAGTGTATATATATATATATATATACAGATATCCTTTGATTAATGCGGTTAATTAATACCTTAATGCTATTGCATATGTTAAGTAAAGACAGCTGTTAAAGCTGAATTAAAATTTCTGTCACATATATAAAGGAATTGCAGCAATTAATTTTGTAATTTTCAATTAGAGAAATTTCTATTTCTTAAGAATGTTGTATTATAGTATATTTCATCTTTGAAATGTATAATAAATAAAGATTTAAATTTTATATATACAGAATTTTACAGTATATATACTGAATAGTAAAAATTGAAGAATTTTACTGTATATTTGTAAAATTTAAAGAGAAATGTATCATGATATAGTCCAGCTTTAGTTCCCACTTACTTATTGTACTGTACATTCTAATGATAAAGTGAGCAGAACATGTTAAAAAAAGAACTCTAAAAAAATAGGAAACTTTAATATATAATGTATTTAGTTTTTTAGTAAGATCTTAAATTTTTGTACAAATAAATTATATTCCAACTGAAGGGGCCCAAAATATTGGACAACAAAGAAAAATAAATGGAATTTTGTTGGTGATTGTACTCTGTCTTGAGTTTAATATGACTATATGATGTCTGGTTTTGGAAAATCTGAAGTACTTTATAAATCAAAGAAATCTTGGCTTATAACAAGAATTGTGTATGCTTGTCATGACTGGTTTTGTGCTGGCTGAAATTTCCTTCTTGGTCTTTTGCCACTTTTGCAGATCTGCCGAAGTGACTCCTCTGCGTAACTTTGCTCGGGCAGACTCGTTTATCTGAGTTTTTGTTTTAAGCCATCAGCTTTCTTTTGTAAGTCTGCTGTCGTCCTTTAAAGAGATTAAACTTTTGGTAGTAACATCTCGCAGGATGAATGATTCATTCATTGTAGCAATTAAAAGAGTCCATCAACAAAATATAGAACCCATTTTTAATGAAAAAAGTTGGGTTTCTTTGAGCACAAACAATTATTGTGCTGTTTTCTAAATAACATTTTAAAAATTTTTTGGTGTTTACTGTGTTTATTTTGTGTGTACTTAGACAAACCTGTATAACAGTTCTACTACTACTAAAGGCTACACATAACACAGTGATCAGTATTTACATATCTAAACATGGAAAAGGTACTACAGATAGTTATGAATTTTTTGGCTCCTTTATAATCTTATAGAATCTCTGTTGAGTGGCACACACCCGTGCAGGAGAGAAAAACACAAAGGAAATTAACACATTATTTTGCAAAAAATTGTAACATTTTATCTAAAATGTGATGAGAATGCATAATTTAACAGTATATAAAAGATATAATTTACATAAGTTTAATGTAGATTAATTATAAAAATTTATGATAATTTTTTTCTCCTGCAGTTTTACTCCACAGCCTGTAGATAAATGAATCCTTCTATAGTCGTAAATTATCACTCCACATGACAATTATCATACGGTCAAAGGTAATTATGCAATCAATGTTACAAATACAAACGACATTAAGATTGTTGAGTGCAATAAAAACATCGGAAACAATTTCGGAATCATTGTATAAATTTATTTATGACATTAAAGACAATTTTGTTTTGGCACCTCACAATACAATTTAATATTTTATATTATTAATTAATGATTATTAATTAAATGTGTGTTTAAAATTAATTTACAGTTGCATACATATGTACGTATGCATGTAGAAAATAATGTTTAACCTTGAATCTTTTGTCAACATGGCCTTGTGTGAGAAGAATAGTTTTATCATCTGAAACCTTATCTGCATTGACTTTGTACACAAAAGGCAAAGCATCAATACATTTTGATTTGATTTACTTTGATGTGTAGTTTGGTAAGAATTCCGGTGTCAGAAGGATGAGAAAATAAATGTTCCTGATCAGAATGATTGCAATTAAAACTTATTTAAGAAAATTATAAAGAAATATATAAAGGTATGCGAAGTTTTCATTGTTTCATATATAACATTTAAGTGCTCTATAGAACTGATATGATTGTAAAGCATTTTAAAAATTATGAAACTAGAAATTATAGTAAATTTATTATTTATATTTTTTAATTAATAGTGTCTCAATCAGAATAATTTATTGAATTTGCTGAATCATTCGAAATGGTAAATGTATATTTGTTTCCATTATTTCTTCTAATAAAAGTTATAATTTTATGGCATTTAAGTGATAAAATATAGCAAAATTAAATAATTTCGTTTAATATTTTTACAGTTATTGAATACAAATTTCATTTTTTATACACAAAACATATTTAATATTTTGTAAATTTTATGTATTCGTTTATTTTTTAAAAATTAATTCAATGGTAAATATAGATATAACTTATTCTACACTTGATGCTGATGTTTACATTTTGTTTTTGTAAATTTTACAGGAAAATTATCAGTTATCAGATAATCAAATTCAAGGTGAGAATTGTATTTTTCATGCTGTAAATTAAAATTGATATTCCAGTCAAATTTATAGCTTCTGTTTTATTTTCTGTAGAGTTGAAAGCTGCCTTTTCCATGTTAGATAAGAATCAAGATGGTAGAGTTAGCGCTACAGAAATTAAATTTATGCTAGATAATTTTGGTATCTGTCTAACAGATTCCACAATACAGCATCTTATACAGCAAGCCAGTGGAAATAGTATGTTATTTTATTGTAAATAAGTGATGTAGCCCTTCATTTAATTAATGGTGTTTTTAGATGACGGACTAATAGATGAATCTGAATTTCTTGCGTGGATGGCATCCCACCAGCAAGCATTGATGGACGATGAGACCGAAGACCTCCTCGCAGCTTTTAGGGTGTTTGACAGAGACAGAAATGGATATATCACACGGGTATAATTGTTTTTCATTTATCATCTCTGAGTTTTTATTTAAATGATGCAAAATTTGTATAATAAATTAATTAGGACGAATTAAAAGTGGCAATGGATCTTATCGGTGAGCCAATGTCTGAACAACAGCTTGACGACTTATTGGAATTGATTGACGTAGATAATGATGGAAGAATTAATTATGAAGGTGAGATGGGTTTGTACAGAACTATATATATGTTTATGTAATTTGTAATTCTTATTATAGTTTACAATTTTATTTGCAGAATTTGTCAAAATGCTCTTATAAAAATAATTCTACAACAAATTTTTGGAAGGAACTAAAAGCAAATAGTTACTATCATTTGTTTTGGGTGCTTGTATTGATGGAATATATATAAATTATAAAAAATTTTCTATATCTTTGTATTTGTTAAGTTTATAATAAAATATTAATATTTGTTTTTTATGTGACACAAAGTACTGAATCTATATATATAATCGAGACGGGTTGATAATAATAATGATAATAATAATAAGCGCAGAGCCCAAACGGTTAGGAGTTGAAAGTTGAAATTTGGTACACAGATAGGATACGTCACGAAAATGCACACTAAGAAGGGATTTTTCGAAATCCCCCCCCTGGGGGGAGAGAGACAGGATTAAAACTTCTATATACATTATGGATATGAGCCAAACAGTTAGGAGTTGAAAGTTGAAATTTGGTACACAGTTAGGGTACGTTAGGAGAACGCACACTAAGAAGGGATTTTTCGAAATTCC